CGAAATGCACTACTCACGCAAAGCATGCATTCGACCGGAATTATCTCGCATCACCATAAGCGATGATGAGCTTGTGAAAAGGAGCAAGAGGTGCCTTCTTAAACTGTTTCTTCAAAGCTGTGGCATTAATGGAAGAAGCGAATAAAAATGAGAAGCGTTGTTCTTTTTTCAGTGGGAAGAGATTGATGCAAAAAGCGAGCGATTCGGTGATTGATGTTGTTCTCAACAAAGTATCGCACAATTTTACGGCAGATGATTTCCAATATTTGCTGCCTGGATGGTATGATGCAGAATTGAAGAATAGATTGGAAAACGCCGTCCTGGTTGATGAAAATGACATCGTGAGATTAGTGAAAGAAACTAGTGAACGACCCAAATCAGCGATGAAAATTTACTGGAAAACACCAAAAGAGTTCCAACGATTGTCTGCGCTGTTTGGTGGTGTGTTCTATTCGCAGGTACGGTTTGGAGTTTGCAAGTATTTCGGAAATCGAAAAATATCGCCTAGTTTGAAGAATACCTAACGACTATGATCAAAAACATCGTTCAGTCACGAAAATTGCGACTCTATTCGAATCCAATGTAGAAACAATCAACTGTAGAAGAATTCTGAATAGACTTTGGAAATAAAAAAATTGGTAATTTTCAGGGCGACCTATGCTCAACATGTTATAATGGTGTTATGCATTTGCATTGGCGTTCAGTGCCACTATTCATAATACATCTAAACCAGAGGACCTCATGAAGGGAGGGAACTTACCCAGTTGGAGGTAATTAAGGGTTGTCAGAGGATGAGGGGGGGGGGGAGGGGTAATGGAGCGGATCGGGAAATCAGCATTTTGTACAGTTGTTATACAATATCATGATGAAATGCCACTGTGATTGTGTTTTTTCACTTGTGTATATGTAAGCGATTCGCTCACGGCAACACTCTTCTTTCCTATATTTTTTGAATGTCTTTAGCTGGTTGGAGATTTGAACAAAAGTCACTTCAAAGTGGTTACAAGTATTTCGT